GATGTTTTCATTTATCGTTGTTCTCCACTATTTGTTTAGATGTTGTTCTGCGTCAGACATCTGCCCTCATTTCGTTACTATTCATTTCAGCTCTCAAGTTCAGTTCTATCCTATTATTTCATCGAAGCAACAGGAATGAATTGGAGCTAGGAATAGCGTTCGAGGAAAATAAGGGCATTAAATGTGCTTTCAGGAAACTGGTTTCACATATAAATAGAACCAGTGCACCATTTTTATGCAAATGTTGTGATAATTAGATGCAAACGATTTCTAAGAAAAACGGTCCGATCATAGAATGTCTTATGGTCTTCTGCATATCGGTGTTCGCCTTGGCTAACGAAGCAACCAACATTCATGTTTGTGAATGCATATATACATGTATAACGACATATGTAAATATATGTATATATATATATATATTTATATGCGTATATGCATATATATACATATATATGGATACACATGTGTATATTTGTATACATAAAAGGTGAAAGGACAAAGTTCTCGGCGTTGATATATCCCTGAGGGATACACCATGTATTCGACTTCATTAAGCATCATTGGAGGTAGCTGAACGCATATCTGGCTTTTACAATGGCCCTCAGTGGCCTAACGACGTATCGAACCGGTGCTGCTATCATTCCAGACAAGTCTGGCACCAATTTACCGACTCCGGAGAGATAGAGGACTTGGTGGGCCTGAGGTGAGGGGCTCGATCCCATGTGTATAGCAGGCCGTCTTCGACCACAAGGCTACGCGCGCCTCTTTATATACATACGTATATACATACATATGTATATATCAATATACATATATTTGCAGTATTTGCTGCAAAAGTGGTTAAAATTAAGGAATCCTCTATCTGTTTTATGGTATTACGAGCCGTTCCTTTCGATATTTCGAAAGGATCCATTTGTTATTAGTTTTCTAAGCCACAATGTAAAATGTAATATAATATGTTCATGTTCATTTATAATTGCTTTATAGTAAGCTGTGCTTGTATGAAAACTTTAAATCAATAGTTTTTTATGCTGAAAGACAAAGGTTTATCTTTAAAAAAGAGTCTAAATTGAATCAACCAGTGATGATGAAGTATTAGCAAAATTCCTGATCGCAGGTGTCTACGGTAAGGAACAAACGCGCTATTACCCTTTTCGGAGGCTAAGGCGTTCGCCACCATACCATGCGGCTCCACCGTTTCTCGTTTTTGTCAGTTTTACTAATATCTCAGCATCGTTGTGGTTGTTTCACACATAATGCTCTGCCGTGAAAATTTATAATAGACAATAAGTAAAATGTTAACACTCTAAATTGAGTTCACGAGTAGCTCACAATATCTCCTTGAGCTCTAGTGTTTCGGTAAAATAACGTTAAGAATTATATAGGACTAGCTGAGAGATAGGCGAAACGAGGGACCCGCATGGTGTGGTGGTGAATGCGTTGCTCCCCTGAAAGGACAATAGCGCGTTCGTTCTCCACCGCAGACACCTGCGGTCCGTAGTTTTGCAAATATCTCAGCATTACCGAAGTTGAAAATTAGAATTTGTTGTTTTCAAACTAATCGTGCGCTATCGTTCACAACTGTAATTTGTAGTTTCCAGTCCATCTCCATAACGTTTGAAATCGCGACTGAGTGCGAAGTAGGGTTTGTAACCAAATTTCTAAGGTCGCTGGGTGCTGAACGAGGAAAGTTAAAGTGGCTCCAAAACCTTTGTTTTCGGCGACTGCGTTTGCTCTAACTGATTTTGAAAGTCTGAATGTCTTGTTTCTTGGAAATATGAGTTATCAAACAAATATAAATTGATGATGATATTTAACGTCTGCCAATTCTTTTTATGGTAGGCAGGTTAAAATGTGTAACATAACTACAAGAATGCTGAAATATGAGCGAAACTCGGAGCACAGGTGGATGTCCTGGAAAGGATAATCGTGAGTTCGAAGCCCAACTGAGGTTCCGAGTTTTGCTCGTATCTCAGCATCCTTATGGTTTCTTCATATACTGATACAACTTCATTATCAAAAAATTGCCTCCAATTATCGAGAGACTAACTTGGGGCTGTAGGTATTAAGCACACATCAAAGCTCACAGTGAACACTACTAATGAAATGTAAACAACCTTATTCTTGTGGCTGCTATCTCGAACAGGGAAGCGATTTAACGTTGGTTATTACTATGTTCTAACTAGTTGTTCGCTGTGGTATTTTGCTTCCTACCAGGATTGCTGGTGTTTTAGTTATAAATACTAATAGGTTGCTGTTTTTCGGTGAGCAAGCACCAGTTTATTAATGAAGCTGTAAAGCAACGTTGATCAATCTCTGGCTTGGTGAACTCATGTGTATTGCAGGGCACCTCTCACCATAGCGCCAAGCGCTCCTTGTTAGGAGTGTTGACGGAGCATTTATTTATTTCGTACTGAGTAAGATTTCAACGAATTTCACTTTTGTCGAACCTGGAAGGGTTCAAGTGATAGACATTCCACTTTCTTCTGTTCTGTTTCTTCTGTTTTTTCTTCTGTTAAGGTTACGAAAATAATTGACCGAGTAGATTGCATATCATTTTAACCTTATCGGGCTATGATGGAGAAATTTGTCGAAACGTTACTCAGTGTAGAACAGATATTTTATTAACAATTCGGTGAATGCTCATGAGGCGAGGAATTATTAGAATATTGGTCTTGGGAATTATAAATGCTGTTATTCGATCGTTAAGTATCCCAGCATACTGTTACCTTGAGTGTTACACCAGTCTATCATCTCAGCTAATGGTGAATTTTATTCGTTGAGGTAAAAACGGATAGAATCTACGCATCTTTCATAACTATACATATGCTTTCTAGTTATATCAAGGTAATCAAGGTAATATTCCAATTTTCTGAAGTTCACAGAGTCAGTTTTTTTTTTTAAAAGACCTTGTAATGAAGTCACAATGCGTTAATTTCGCGGAGAGACCAACCTACCAGCCGCTATTTTGACACCAATCTCGGCACGCGAAACCTACCGTTCCTCCGGTGTCGTGGAATTGCTGCTAAACATGAGTGGGATAAGCTCAATCCCTCTTGTTCATGTAGAAACGCCCTAGCATGGCTATCTCAGGATACAAGGGAGAATCGACTGGACAAGCGTTCAACGACATTCATGATGAAAACGAAACTTCCCCAACCAGCAGACGAAGCGACAGGTCAAAAGTTGGAAGACTTTCGAAAATATTGTATACAGGAAAACGAATTGAATGCGAAACTTCAGGGATCTGAAGTGTTATACATGTGAAGTTGGGTCATGTAGTAACATAAAATAAAACGTTGATATTTGGTATACCGAAGCATTTAAGCCGGTGGAAACCCGTTCATCCGGAACGATGGTCTTCTATAATGTCGTTCATGTTTGACAAATGTCACCTCCACCTTTTTCAAATCTCTAGTATCTCTTGTTTTAAACAAATTCGAAATCAGAGGAAAAAAAAATATGTGTATACATATATATCTGTCGGCACTTCATTAAGTATCGTTTGGAGGCGATTGAATGCATATCTGGTTTCTTCAATGACTAGCGGTGGCCTGCCGATGTATCGAGCCAGTGCTGCTATCCTACCAGATAAGTTTGGTACCAATTTGCCTAACCTGGTGGAATGGAACGCTTGGTGGGTCAGGGGCGCGGGGACCGATCCTATATGTGTTGCGAGGCCACTCCGATCATTACGCTACACCCACCCTTATCTTTGGTTTTAATAACTTCGTTATCCGTAGGTTAGATATTTGATGATGTATTGGTTGGCTGTACACTGTTTTTGTGGAATTGGCCAGGTGCATTGGAGCACTGTAGTAATGTTTAAACAAAACTCGACCACACAAGGTGGATATCTTTCAAACTGCATAGTGTTATCATATGATATTTATCGTAATGAAGAACTTAGAAGAGAAAATGAGTGATTTAGATTGTTCTGTCAACTATATTATGTCACATCATGGCCGTATCTCGCAGTATTTCGGGTTTAGTTTGTTTTTTGAGTTATATACTGCGTCTTTGGAACTGCACTAATTGATGCAATGGCGATGGGAAGCAGTTGGGTTTTGATTGATTCTGGTTTAGCAAGTGTTTTTAGATGATTGGTTCAACTGCTTGATAGTGGTTCCATGCAAACATTTGGATGAAAAATTCGCAGAACCACGATGTTTTGTTTGTGTTATGGTCGTTCCATTTGTAGTGCACCACAGTTATTGCTGTTTTCGAAGTTGAACGGAGGTTTATAATCCCAAGTAAAAAAGAAAGGAAAACTCAAATAGTAAGTCCATAAATGTCATGTGGACTCCAATATTTCTCCTACTAGTTTTATTCTTTTGCCGCCATCAGCCATGGAGACAATTGGGTTTGGATTGAGTTGAGCTATAGCTACAGCGATCTGTCGTTTCCTTTCCTCACTAAGATGCTGAACGTTTGTCTTTTTCTTGAAATACAAAGTTAGCTGCAATTGGATCTCCTAAGATCTTCATCAATTGTTGTCGCTTACTGGATCAATCTGAGATTTCTTCCCTTGCGACTACGATTCTTCGGGGATGGTAGCGATGTCTGCATTTATCGACCCACAGATTTAACACGATATGACAAGCCGTTTCAGAAATTAGAAACGATTCTCCGACGATATTTCTTTGAAGCTCAGCTTTCTATAAAACATGTATTTGTCTGTGATTTCTCTACTTTGATAGGTACTTTAAAAATATTATTTTGAGAGGAGGTCTGAGTTCACAAGTATATTTTTGCATCAAAAATTAGGTTACAAAAGGAAGCAGTAGTTTCAACAAATGTAATTTTTATAGTTATTTTTCTAGTTTTTTTTTCATTCTAATTTTGTAAATCTTTTAGTAATTTCTGATTAGAATCCGTCCGTGAAAAATTGTAGTGGGCAGCAAATGAGAAAGGTTAACTCTTTGATTCGAACTACAGCCTCAGCTTAACTGGATTCAATACCGATTTGTGCTCACCAGATCAATCACGCTGACGGGTGATTGCTGATAGCAGAGATCGACAGAACTAGCTGAGAGACAGGCGAAACGAAGGACCCGCATGGTGTGGTGGTGAACGCGCTATCCGCCGGAAATGGTAATAGTACGTTCGTTCCGCATCGCAGTCACTTGCGATCCGGACGTTTGCAAATATCTCTACATCATTGTAGTTGTATTTCGCATAATACCGTGCCGTGAAAAATTGTAGTAAGCAGCAAATTAAAAGTTAACGTTATAATCTTTATGTTTTAACTTCTCTTTCATGCCTGTTCTTTTCTCATGACAGAGTGTTATGTGAAATGTAACCACAAAGGGTATTCCATAGATAAGAGCAAGACCAGGACACTGCGCTTCGAACCCTCTATAACCCTTTCCGGAGGCTCACGTGTTATCCACTGAGTGTTCATAATTTTTACTTTATTATATTTTCTTTATTTTATATGAAGTAAGGCGGATATTGACTTCATCGTTGATTTTAGTTGAATGATCTGTAAGTTTTTTCAGTTTATTATGCTGTCATTTGTCGTTTTTCCTTGGGCTAAGTCCTTTCTTGTTAGGCTGTCTAGCAAACTCCGATGAACGAAGTGTTTCCAGACCATTTGCATTTTTTTTTTGTTGAGTAACTGAGCGCTGTATTAGGTAGGTACTAGCGTTGCAAACGCTATTAGGTATCTGATTCGACTAATATACTTGACTTTTCAGGGACGATTTTCTGCAGCACAAAAATTTCTTGCTCAAAATTGTTTCCAGGGCGTCTGGAACGGTGTATGTGGCGAATCGGAAGGATACGAATGAAGTAGTCGCCGTGAAACGAATGGCATTCAAGACCCAACCGAAGAAAGAAATGTTATTAACGGAGATTAAAGTCATGAAGCAATTTCGTCATCCGGTCAGTAGCACTAGGACACGATTTACTTCTTATCTGCTGGTTCGTATGTTTAAAATACATGTTGTTTAGAATGTTGTGAATTACATCGAATCCTACCTGGTCGATGCTGACGATTTGTGGGTAGTAATGGACTACTTAGAAGGCGGCAATCTGACTGATGTCGTGGTGAAAACGGAACTTGATGAGGGACAAATCGCAGCTGTTCTTAAAGAGTGTGTCAAAGCCCTGCACTTCTTGCACAGGTCATTTTTTGTATTTCGTCTTATTTTTATTGCGATTTTGTCCTCGATGCCTACATCTCGTCGATAATTGCGAAACAATGAAAACAGACATCCTCCCAAGGTGAAGTTCTTCGTCTATTGAGGCATAGCTGCGTCATCATTATACCATTAAACATGGACTAAAATTATGGTTATATTGTCATTAGAAGAACTCAACGATTTTTCAGAAAATTCTGAGGAGATATGAAATTCGTATAAAACTTCATCGAACACGGTATACGTCATTTTTTCGATGACCTCGCGATCTTTCGAGCAGTCGTAATGGCTGTCTTGAAAGGTCGAGTTTTATTGACAGATTGTGGTCTAGATATCTTCTTCCTATCCGTTTAAATGACACTTTTTCATTGCACTTCAACCTAAAGTAGAAAAGCAGCATGAAAATGAGAAGTTTCCCTTGTCAAAGTTTCACGTAGCCTCACGTAGCCACTAACCATGGTTCTTCTGGTGTTCGCGAACGGTTCTTTTTGACATTCCTAGTATCCGTACCAGATCTAGCACTGTTTGTCGGGTGTTTTCGGTGGTAGTGTTTTTAGACTATTGTCACGTTTACAGGGGAATTACGGTTAAATAGTGGTTTGTCTTTGAGATTGAAATTGTCTTGTTGGAATTTCGAAAATTCATTCTGATCTATATCATTTCAAATGAAAACGACATTGTTTGTGTAACCTGTAATCCTGTAAATCATTCATTACCTTAAATAAACACCTAAAGGGTACCCGTTCATCTCTGTCACAAACGGAAATTTCTCAATGAACTTCAGTTGCTGCAGGAGTACGAAGGAAATGGCATTTCTTAAGAAGCGCCTTATTCTTAGTTTTGTGGTGAAATCGTATCCAGTATGCTGTGCTGCGTGAGAGTCTGAAAGTCAGGATAGGTTTGTTGAACTCATTTCCACGCAACAGGCTTGGTGTCGTTTGCTGATCTTCACTCTGAACCCTCTCCCATGTACTTCCAATCGTTTGATTGCAGTTTTTTGTCCAAATCACTATTTTTACCCACACAAAAGGACTCCCGCATATTTATGTATGATTGCGTGCATTATTGTCACTGTATATTGTATAAAGCGGTTTTAAAGAACCACTGAGCATTCCCAATGATGCATTACGATTATTTTCGTTTCTTAATTTGCTTTTTATATATTGAGGGCTCAAAAAATACATGATTTTGTGGGCTCGGTAACTGAGATATAACATTTTTACCACAATGGTGTACAAGAGAGCGTTTGTAAGTGAAGTGACCATATTACTATTTGTTTGACAAATTCTGAATAAGCGTCCATCTGGTGGGTTAAATCTGTGCATCACAAATTTTGCTCAGAAATGTGGAAATTTACATTGGTTTTTTTTATTTCTATGTCATCAATCGTAATTTTGGTCATTTTTATACCATGCGATGCTAATCGAGTGGAATTCTTATTTATAATTTTTATCAAGAAGGAACATGATTTTTCTTAAAATTAATGTTTAATCTGCAGTAAAAGAAGTCTATAGCTGTTCTTTAACATAAAATAAATACGCTTCTTCTTTGTTATCCCACATTTATACCGGCGGATTTAACACCGATCGATCTCATGCTCCGCCAAATGTCAAACACCTGGTTGAAATAGTTCGGTCATTTTATGGCAGTACAGTTTACTTTCCCGTCACCAAAAAACGACTTGTATTGGGGTCGTTAAACAGTTCGTGAACTTGTTGTAGTAAGAATAATTCTTCGATTGAATTTTTTGTCCATCTATATCACTAGGGGTGACTACCGAGTGATTCAAACGAGAGTGTACGAATCTCATTTATTCATCTTCGTTTATTCTTGTTGCTTTCCAAAGTTGCGCAATTTTTTCTGCACACTTGATGGACATAAAGAATATGATGTCTTTCTTTAATGGTCTTCGTGTGAAGTTGGGTTGGCGGTTTTCCTTACATATGCCAGCCAACCTTTGTAGCCAGGTCGGAACCGTGTACGGTCCAACAGTTGTTGTTAAGACGCATCACATGGTTTTTTCTCTTGGCTTACTGTAATCGGTATTCTGCACACAGTATGTCTAAACCTAGAAATCCATGGGTTCATTCACGACATGAGTGCTAATGTAATTTGAAGCGTACAACTGTTCTGAGCTACAAAAACAGGAACCTTCTTTGAACTAACTTGGATTTCAAGGCATGTAATTGGGTGCCTTCAGTGTTACGTGAGATTATGTGAGCGACGTGGGATTGTTTTACTTAAAAATAACAGCCACATAGAAGTCTAGATCTGAGCAATATTTTGGGAACGCTTAAGACATAACAAATGTTCTTATTCATCGTAACTTCAGCCATTCTATCGTACATCGTGATATCAAGAGTGACAATGTTTTGCTAGGAATGGATGGCCAGGTGAAACTCACCGATATGGGATTCTGCGCTCAAATTCAACCAGGATCGAAAAGGTACTTCCCAAGTTTTCTTTTTGATGAGTCTGTATTGCTAGTTACTAAAAACTCATAAACAATACTGTATTTTTTTTTGCGAAATTTTTGTCAATATTCGTCACCGATGATCAAATATGGTGAATAGAGTATCATTCTGCCCATAACACTTACTCGTTTGTCAAGAAAATGATGTCGTAGTTCCCTGGGAAACTGCCACTGATTCACGAATGCTGGTAACGATTGAAGACTTGGGAACGCCATAGCACAGCTATCCCAGGATCCAAAGGAGGGTCAACTCATTCAGCATTCAACGGCCTTCATGAAAAAGCAGAGACGAAAAACAAAAAAGGATCAAGCAGCAGTCAAAAAACTTTGGACGTCGGCTCCCATGGTTCACGATGTCTTAGCTAAAACAGTTTAGACTTAAATTTTATTTAGTTCTGTGGGATGGTTTTGAGAAATTCAGTATTTCTGATATCTTGATGTCGTTCCGTTAACAATAATGGGTGTTATTTCTGTTCTTTTCTTTATTTATGAGATCTTATAAACTGATCTTCTTAAGCTGACGCGAGGTTGGTACAGATCTTCGTTGTCGTTGTCGTTGTCGTTGTTTTTGATGTTATTGATCGATGGCTGACGTTTCGGCGACTTCGCCTTCCTCAGAGCCTGGACGTACTTTATGTTAGAATACTTTTTATTATTCGGTGGAAAAGAAGGTTAAGGTATTAATGAAGATCAAACTTTCAAATAGACGCCATATTGAACAGAAAGGCCACTCACCGTGATGTTACGTGCGGGACTGGCCCACACGTAGTTCACGTGGAGTCGCGAGCAAGACACGCCCCGGGGTCAAAATATCATTTTGAAATAGGGCGCCAGGTNTTTCTTTATTTATGAGATCTTATAAACTGATCTTCTTAAGCTGACGCGAGGTTGGTACAGATCTTCGTTGTCGTTGTCGTTGTCGTTGTTTTTGATGTTATTGATCGATGGCTGACGTTTCGGCGACTTCGCCTTCCTCAGAGCCTGGACGTACTTTATGTTAGAATACTTTTTATTATTCGGTGGAAAAGAAGGTTAAGGTATTAATGAAGATCAAACTTTCAAATAGACGCCATATTGAACAGAAAGGCCACTCACCGTGATGTTACGTGCGGGACTGGCCCACACGTAGTTCACGTGGAGTCGCGAGCAAGACACGCCCCGGGGTCAAAATATCATTTTGAAATAGGGCGCCAGGTTACGCGTGATAGTGAGGCATTCGTCCTTCCGGTTCATCTTTGGATTTTTGAAATTTATCCAAAACGCCTCAAGAGTTTTGCGCGTTGATGTTTTTGATTCCTGCGCTAGGATCCGCACATTCACTTCAAAATCATCGCCGTTGTGCTTTTGTGCCCTATGCGTACCTACGTAGGTATCCAAAAAAATCCAAAGATGAACCGGAAGGACGAATGCCTCACTATCACACGTGACCTGGCGCCCTATTTCAAAATGATATTTTGACCCCGGGGCGTGTCTTGCTCGCGACTCCACGTGAACTACGTGTGGGCCAGTCCCGCACGTAACATCACGGTGAGTGGCCTTTCTGTTCAATATGGCGTCTATTTGAAAGTTTGATCTTCATTAATACCTTAACCTTCTTTTCCACCGAATAATAAAAAGTATTCTAACATAAAGTACGTCCAGGCTCTGAGGAAGGCGAAGTCGCCGAAACGTCAGCCATCGATCAATAACATCAAAAACAACGACAACGACAACGAAGATCTGTACCAACCTCGCGTCAGCTTAAGAAGATCAGTTTATAAGATCTCATAAATAAATATATCAACTATTTGTGCCGAGGTTCATAGAAAGTCGGTCTTTCGAGTTATTAAGATCTGTTCTTTTCTGTTTTAATGATCGTCATTTATACAGGAAGCTATTTTTGGAATAGTGATATATACTGTTTTATTTTTTTTTACTCTAAGCCCCTCTTTACATGGTCATTACAAATTTCCGGTCGTTTCTTGAATACGTAAATGTATTTTGTTGGGAGAGGTAGAGCCTTATTTTAATATTTCAGGTAGTCTTGTTCAAAATATTTTCTGGCTTGTATCACTACGGTCGTTAATATTTTTTATCACGAAAACTGTTTCATGTAGTAACATTTTGTTCCATATAGTAGTGTTCGTTGTTAACTGAAAACATGTGTGCCTAGCAGATACAGCTCGTTTCTGCTTCTTCGTTATGTTCTGATTATTTTCTGATAATCAGAGTACTTAAGAAGCTAAAAACCTCGTAGACACACAGAACATGCTCTGCCCTGCCCCTGAAAGGTGTAAATAATCTTTATCAGGTTTTTTTCAATTTTAGCTTTTGCGTAACGTTCATTTTTTTTAAAGTAAAAAGAGCGAAATTTAACTGTGCTAAATTTTCAACGCAATCACGGCGTTCAGAAACAACAGAGGAAGCGACCTTTTTGTTCTTTCGAATGCAATCCCACTTTTTCAGTTGTCTACCTTTTTGTAAAAAAGTCTCCGGAGAAGATCTAAAAAAACGCTCTTTCGCCTAACGAAAGTTGGAGTTTCTTCTTGACCTCATAGTAGAACTTGTATAATACTTTATTTGCGAGTATTAAGAGATTTTGTCTTTACGATAAAATAGTAAAATTTGCAATGAACTGAGATATTCTTATAAGTGAAGACGTGAAATTATTTCCGCGTAACCATCATTTCTGGACGCCTGTAACAGGTGGTGAGATTTTATGCAGTACATACATTGGTGTCGGTTCGTTGTTGCACTGAAGACACACCAAAGCTTCCATCCATCCAGACTTGGCAGATTTGTATCACACTTGTCTGGAAGCATAGCGGCACCGACTTCACATATTAGTAAGTTGCTGTAAGTGATTGTATTCCAGATGTAGTCACCTCCATATGTCTATCAAGAAGCTTTCAAAGATATATGAAAAAGCTAAACAGTAAAAGAAACGGGCCTCATTCCCCTGAGCGCGAAAGAGCTCCGATTCGGCAGCGTTGGGTAGAACGACCACGGAGAGGCTGCTGAAATCTAAGGGCCAATCGAAGCTGCCTGGATTGCAAAGGACTAAGGTGACGATCTGTATCTACAATGCACGTACACTTGCATCCGAGTCCTGGATAGAAGGATGCTAGCAAGAAGGATAACGTACGACGTCATCGGACTGGTCGAGACGAGACGACGCCACCCATTCAATACCGCCTACAACACCGCAGAAGAACTGTTCCTCGGAATATACGACAGTAGAGGAGTCGGTGGCATCGACGTTCTCGTCGACAGGAGTTTCTCCTCGAACATAGATTTATATGAACAACTAAAAGCTCGAATCGGACATATACGATAGAAGAGATGTAGATCAATATCGGCTCTAACAATCTTCGTCGTTTACGCACCATCATCAAACTATGACGGAGAGGAAGTCGAAGCATTTTATATGGACTTGGAAAAGTTCTACAGAGAAGACCACACATTCTTCAAAGGCCTTATTGGAGATTTTAACCCTAAAATTGGACCAAGAAGAACGTTGCATTGAGACCGACGCATTAGAATGGAACGAGCAGGGTGAGCGGCTGTCTGAGTTTATCATGATGACCGAGGCCATAGACGGTAACTCACAACTCCAGAAGCCCCACTCTCAACGCCATACGTGGGAATCTCCCAGTGGAAAGTACCAATAACGAAATAGACCACACCATAGTAAATCGAAGGTTTTCACTTACCGATGTTGTTGTCCCAAAATTCTACGGGGCCGGACCATAGCCTGTTTCGTGCAAGATTCTATTTCTCGCAGAAAGGAAAGAAACCGCCAAATTCAAGAAACGAACTTCCAAAACCACCATAAACTGGGAATTTTTCAGATCACTAGTAGGCTTTGAAAGGTGCCGTTCTCGATGGCATCGACGCGGAATACGATCCGCCTATTCGACATCTTCACGTTAGCGTTACGAAAGCCTAGAGTTCGAAAATCACCAAGAGATATCTGTTTCTAGAAACACTCGAGCTGATACGCCAGTATGAAATCGCGTGTGCTACTGGCAATTGCCAATTCACATCCGAACAGGCGGCGAAACAGGCGATACAAGATATTGAAGAGAGAAATGGAGGAGGAAATGAAAGACTTGTGGTCGAAGATGCAGAGGCTAGGAAAAGCATCCACAAAACCTACCGAAGTTTCGCCAATTACAAAACCCAGACGATTGCATTCCGACGCCCAAACGGAACAGCTACAGCGTCCAGAAAAGCAATCAAGAAACAGTGACAGAGGAAAGTGAAGGATTTACCGACTCCCGCTCGAGCCACTCGATGATCATCGGAACTACAGGTGATACAGATGATAGTCACTTGTAGCGATTCTTTTTTTTTCAAGGTACACCCTTAGGGATTGGTCATCCCGGGGCTTTATTCTTTTACGCCTTTATTCACGATTTATATATAACTGATGCTAGGCGTAATATGTCAAGGTTAGGTTGCGGAATTATCATGTTATTATCATGAATATCATTATCATGAATTATCGTATTACCACCTCTTCGTTTACCTTACCAGTTATGCATTCTTTCACTGTTTACAGGGAGAGGTTGTAACATTTACGTGTCTATCCTTAAGTGATAAGTGCCATTTAGGGACACTGTGGTGGGCACACCGTACTGGATGTCTCCAGAGATTTTGAATAAGAAGCGGTACAACTACAAAGTAGATATCTGGTCATTAGGCATCATGGCTTTGGAAATGATTGATGGTGAACCTCCATACCTTCACGAAACACCAATAAAGGTTTTGATTATTTATAGAGTTATGTCAGATGTAAATTCCATGTTATTTTTCCAGGCGAATATTTAATTTTAGGCAATTTACCTTATCGCTCAAAACGGTAAACCGGAAATAAAGAGAAGGGACCAACTTTCTCCCGAGTTCTTGAATTTCCTTGATCGGTGCCTTGTAGTTGATCCTGAAGAGAGGTATGCTTTCTATGTTGTTATAATAAAGGTAATATTACTTATTGCTGAGGCGCATGTCAAATTTCGTCAAAAAAAAATTGAAAGCTGACGTAGTAGAGTTTTAGACGGAAAACAGAGATACGATTTTGATAAAGAGTAAACATATCTTAATCATGTTCTTTTTTTAGAGCGGACACCGAAGAACTTCTATGTCATCCATTCCTTGCACGGGCCAAACCGCTTAGTAGTTTGATTCCGTACATCAAAGCAGTAAAAGAACTTAAAGAGAAGGAAAAGCTCAGTCATAAATAAATCGAATTGGTTACACTTATATACTTTTGCTTGCCTCGTTTTGTTTCTTTCACTAGATTCGTTCGAACCTTTGGATAGGATTTTCTTCCTTACTTTTCAGATTCCAATACACAACTTAACTACTTGCACTGTTGACGAATTCTAGAGTACTGTTATGCTAATGTTTGCTGCTCGTGGCGATTTTATTTTTTCTGCTCCCTATCATCGCATTCATGACTGGTTATCTGTGCATACTGTGACTTTGCGGTTTGCTCTAAACTGTTACTAGGCAACATTTTCGAGTATGACACTGCAAATGCAAATCATAGCTTTCTACACCGGCTCACGTCATGCCGAATTTGCGTCCGGTCTATTCACATTCGTTCTTCTCGTTTTTTTTTTTGTGAAATGGTTCAGAGTTCATTCGTTTGTTAGCGCTATTGCATTTTATTTCCTCAGAGCTATAAGTAGCTACTGTTTTTTTCTTAGTTGCCGTTGTATGTGGTTGTACTTCGGTCCAGTGCGGTCACCAGCATGTATTTCGTTGTGTAACACCAATGCTCATCGTAAGGCATTTACGTCTTGTCGAAATGTTATTTATTTCAACAAATATAAATTGCTCTTCGTGCTCATCTCTTTGCACGATTACTGGTTCGTCAGACCTGAAAACCGTAAGGATCCACGGATTTGTAGATTCATGGGATCACTGTCAAGAGCACAGACAGAAGCTGATCTAGTAGTATACCTCCTTATGTATAAACTACAACAGTCATTCAATTCTTGGCAAATGATACCAAGAACAAAATGAAAGAGCGGTGCAGATTGATTATCAACAATTTATTCAGAAAGAATAATTACAATCCACAAACAGTCCCAACATTACTTTCTGGTTGTATGAAGGGCAGTTTTAAATGAGAACAATACGAGAAAACAACCATCTGGAAATGGGTGGGGCCTAGTCGTCGTCTCTTCGTCGTTTTCGACTACGACTGTGATCTAAAAAGTAGCAGGTGGTGGTCATAGATTAGAAATCTAGTAAAATTGCTAAAAAAAGAAAGAATATGGGATCGAAGAGGTACTAACCTTCCACCTTGACTGAGAAATCAAACTCCTGGTCAGCGCCTAGGTATGAATCGCAGATGAAGTATAACTTATACTCAAATCGACCCGCTGATTGTGCAAGGAAATCCAACTGCATCTTCGCCTTCTCGTTTATTGTTAGTCTGCACAAGTGCTCTCGGTAGATATTGTTCGACAATGTAAGATATCGCCTTGATTTTGGCATTCATAGGAAATTAACACCGGTTTACAAACCTCTTGATCGAGTAGAGAGCGTTCGAAGAAGGATCACCGACAACAAGCCACCATCCTTCTTCTTTTCGTTTCTGAGGAAACAGCGGCGCAACGACTGGTGGTGCCAGGCCATTGACATGGTTTTCTCGCTCCATTGTTACGTTTACAAGTAATGTGTCGCCACTGAAATTAACTTCCGATAGCACTGTTGTGAACGAAAAACAGTGTTTTAGATACTATTGTAGTACACATTACCTCACCACATTTTCAAGACTTTATCCATTTCGAACGAGCTTTACTCAATGATATATTGCAAAGGGCAGAATTATAAAGCTCTCGACATCGATTAGTCCCTGCGGGATGCGGCATGCATTCGACTTCATTAAAGACCATTGGAGGAGAATGAATGCATATTTGGCCTTTAAAATGACTAGCGGTGGCCTACCGATGTTTCACGTCACTGCTACTATCCTCGCAGACTGATCTGGTAATAATTTGTCGACCCCGGAAGACAGGTGAGTCTGAGGCGCTGGGATCGATCCCATTTTTGTTGTAGGGGACCTCTAACCACTGTGCTACACGCGTCACGATACATTACACCCATCATAATTATCGGCCACTTTTACTGTAAATTGAAGATGGTGAGGTGATTTCGACATTTAGGTAGTAATCGAAGTTCTTGAAAGTGGTGCAAGAACAAGTGACTGCCTCAATGCGTTATGTCAAGACTGTAAACGGTTGATGGTGTACGGTTCCCTAGTCTACTTTTTGCAGCTCTCGTTCGTGGACCTTCCTAGCCCCTCCAGCCATAGCCTTCCTCGATGTATTTTCGATGCTGGCAAAGCAGCAAACACTCATAGATGCTAACTTGCGCAAATCCGACCCAGTCGGTCCAATATGGGATGTACAGCTAGTAGTTAGAAGAAGCCGATCAAAACTAAGATGTTGACAGCATTAACAAAGCCGAGTTTCCCCTTCAAGTCGCGTTTTCGTGTACAGTCCAAGTTCATATTCACCAGATGTAGTGCCTTCGTTAAACTTTACTGGTTCTGCAAATCGAAGCAGACATCCGCTTCTAATGCTGCCGCCGTCGAAGCGACTAAACAGCAGCAACACTGTTCGTGTATGTTTTTTAAACACATTGTTGATGTTCTTGACGGTTGTCCATGGAACACTGATGACCATAAAGCATAATGACTCAACTTTTCGAATATCTATTCGATTTGACTTTACCTTACCCGTTTACGGCCTTACTAGAAAAATTTGCTAAACGGACTACAATATAACTATAACATGGTCAAAGTGTTTTGGATGTGAAAAGAAATTCCGAACGAAAATCGACAATAATTTTTGTTTAAGATCCCATAAAAATAAAACTTACACTGTGACCGTGTCGGACTCCAACTCATGTTCGACTTCTATCGATGGATAATTGTTACAGAATTTGGCAACATCAGCCAAATGGACGTCTTCCATGCGCAGAATATCACGACGTTCGTCATCATCCAATTCAAGCAGTTCGAAAACAGACTCCACTTTCTATAAAACGGGTCAACAGCAACCACATAGAGCTTTCATTCATGATCTTTATGAATTTTATGTGAAGAATGCACCACTAACCTTTTGCTTCGCTCTTTCCAGAAGAGCAGAATTACAATGAGGGAGCTGTTTCAGATATGATTCATTACTATACATTGCTTGAGTCAACATCTGCGATAATTCCATAGCATGAATTGCAGGCGACAGCCAACCATTACTGCAAAACAAATCACATCGCTAATGAAATACCAATAACACACATGATCCGAATGTAAATTCGGCTAGTCTCGTGACTGTCCACTTTAGCGTGATCAAAGCTATTTATTAGGTATTAGGTATACCATAGCAACATTTGTAGTTATAATATAAATGTTGTCTTGTTACTAGGTATTCGACAATTCTACCCTTGTAGCAAGCTTTCATGAAAAGCGAACATAAATGAACCTCGATTGCAATGGTCGTTAAACAGGCCGAGAGGGCAAATTAACTTGCAAAGTCACTTTTTCAATATTCAAACCCCACGTGTGCGGTCAACCAAAGTATCAAAACTAGCTGCGAGACAAGCGAAAGGAAGGACGCGCATGGTGTGCTAGTGAACGCGTTAACCCCCGGAAAGAGTAATAACGCGCTTGTTCCCAACCGCAGAAACTTGCGGCCCAGAGTTTTGCAAATATCTCAGTACCACTGTGGTTGTATCACACATATGCCGTAAAAAATTTTAAAAAGTAGTAAATAAAAAGTTAAAACATCAAACAGTTTCCCAAATAGTCGATTGATACAGTTTTAAGTCAATAACTATGCTCCGTCTCCTTTCATATGACTGTATTATATGAATATATTCTCAAAAGAAAAAACATAAACATAGATTTTATATAACAATTCAATAGATGATCAAGTGAATTACGATCTATAATTTCCTCGTGATGGCTGAAACGTTAGTCGTTATAGTGGTGAAACCATCAACTTCTTGGCAAACGTATTTCGAAAAGGTGTGTTTAAAAGCCGACTATAAAAGGATAAAGGATAAAGCTCTCGACGTTGATCAATCCCTGAGAGATGCGCCATGCATTCGATTTCATTAAATATCACTGGAGGTGATTGAAGTCGTATCTGCCCTTTACAAAGATTCTCGATGCGCTACGGATGTATCGAGCCAGTGCTGCTATCCTTTCAGAGTCTGGTACCAATTTGCCGACCCGGAGAGATAGAAGGGTTGGTGAACCACGGGTGGGGGACCATATGTATTGCAGGGCGCCTCTAACTACTGCGTTTCACGCCCTCATTGATTAAAAGCAGGAAATAATAAGAATGTTCTGGAAGAACGTGTTAAGTCATAGTCCATTTGCACAAAATCCAACTGTGTATGTACATATATATTTATGTATATATACATATATATACGAATATAACTGCTGTCTGTATCTGCATATACATATGTATATAAATGTATATATATATGTATATTATATATACATATATATGCATATATGCATATTATATATATACATAATCCCTCTGTTCAATAGTTAAGATTATGAGTACCTGAAACAACCGTAGCATTTGCACACTTTGCAAATATCCCACACCAACATTTTGCTAAACTCTCCGAAGCTTTAATTACAGTAGATTTCGTGCATTTGCATAATTTCATCTGTACACAGGGTCGTATCGACAATATTTCATAGATAGGTGCAAAACCTCTAGCAAGTTCCACGAAGTTACTTCCGGCGCTCCGGCGCCCAAAACCTCAGCTATTTAATGGTGGGGTTATTCATATTATATATATTTATATATACATACATACATATGTTTATATATGTATGTAAATACGTATAATATACGTGCATATATATAAAGACATGTTTGTATATAATATATATATATATATATACATATATACGCAACGATTTACCGCCTCATCGTGGCTGGGAGGTGTTCCTGGGTGTCGGACTGCGATGTACAGCAGGGAGATTCGTCCCCCAGGCAGGGTCCCCCAAGCTTAGAAGGAGTGCGGCGTTTCCAACAGGAAGCCTAGCTAAAAGTAAACCGATACCACGATCCACCACCGTCCTAGTATCAAAGTCACATGGTGGCGAATCTCGCTCTCATCCACAAGGGCTGCGACTGCTTGTCGTGGTGACGACCTGGGGCAGACTTTGGCCGGGCTGTCCTCGGGATTCCAGAGAGCCACAATTGCTTAACCTGCAAATCTCCGAAAAAATGGTGATTATCCTGGAGCTCGCACAACCAGTGAGAACGGACCGCTCGAGGATCAAGTATCAAGTATAACATATATATACGCATACATATGTATGTACTAACACACAGGGGCGCGGAAAGTCTTGTGGTAGTAATGCCGATCACCAAAAGCATGGTGTTGGTTCGATCCCGCTCCGAGGTCTCCAAGCTTCTCATCCCTCCAATATCGAAGGAATTGGTACCGATCTTGTCCTGGAGAAATCACTGCAATCCGGTTAGAACCGTTCTAACCCGGATATCTCAAAACTCCAAGAAGATTCGCCTCGACCAGCATTCTCCGACATTCATGATCAAATTAGAGTCCACAAGTGAGTGTTGCAAAATACCTTCGTGGGTGATTAATGTTAGCAAAAGAATCGAATGTGAGAAGTACTAGGATCAACTAAAGTGGATGTGAAAGACGGCCCGTATAAAAATAGAAATAAATGAATAAATATTTATATATATATACTTATGTACATAAAACATTTTCCAATTATCTACTGACCTTGACAAAACATCAACACAGGCCTGCACAAGACGAATTGCCTTCAACACTATTACATCTGTGTCCTTACTGAGTTCCGCAGACAATTGAATGCGAGAAAGATGAGCGTGGATCAACAGATTCACCTGAACATCTCTTCTTGCCTTTGCATCACAATATTAAAAGTACGGCATTCCCTGCCGTTCACATTAGAGGCGCTCTTTCTTTCTATCAAAAGTTCAAGCTTAGTAAGAACCACATCACCGCTTTCAAAGTGGAAAACAGTTTTGCTACAGTCTTATATCTCCATAACTGAGCGTTATACTGAGATGATAACTCGCTACCAAAGACATTACTCTACATGAAAAAAGTACTACGTCACCTTTACATAAAAGAGATCCCAAGTTTGTTATTTAAGATAGACCCACGTGTGATGCATCCTTAAATAGAGTAGAGGCTGTTAAACCCGAGGAAAAAGAGGCGATGTAGTTTCACAAAGACCATTGTAAATATAGTTCGTGAAGTGGTTCCTGTTTCTGCTATGGAAGATTCCTTTACACCTCAACCATTCACGTATTCATGGAGGCGAGCGTGGCTACCCTTGCGTATGCGCGGGTTTCGCACAATCATTGAGAGAAAGTTTCGTGATCAAATGATTGGAGAGTACATGTGAGGCGGCTTGATGTAACCTCAATCACATAGCACACCATATGCACCTCATGGAAACCGAATAAAACTCGATTCGGAGTCCGACAACATAGCCATGGGTAGAAAGATGTTAAAACAGGAAAAAAGATTAACGTACCGTCTATTCCAGTCAGCAGGCACACTATGGAAATTCTGCCATACGATGGGAATAGATGAACACCGTTAATGTACTATTTACAAGATAAACAACGCTATTACAAGCGATAGAGATGTTATAAAGGAGATAACCACAACCTCTCAGCTTGCGACGGAATATTTCCGCTTGCCATCAATCAACATGGCAGATAAAGTTACTCCTAAGGTACTTTTCGCGCATTACAATACCAAATTACCGCAATGTGGAACATTTTTAAGTGCACTCCCCAAATGATCAACATAATATGCAGCTTAAGAATGTAAACGAAATACCTTCACATGTGGATCGGAGAACTTTTGATTCTTTAGCTGCCCTGGTAGTCGTGCCGCCAGTTGCTTCAGAACCATTTCCTCACGATGTCGCATAGGTATCGAAGAAAACTCACTTGCGTTTGCTATGATCTCGATCAAAGCTCGAAGTTTAGTTTTTGCTTGTAATGACATTGAGAAGAGTTCTAGAATACAAATTGTAACAATTTTTTACTTAATGAACTAACAAAAATCGGAAGACGAACGCACCGATTGTAGTATAGGAAATATAGTAGTATGCTGCAATCATTCCCAAATTTAACGGCATCGTATCCATATCATCTTTTATAGCAATACACTAGAAATCCAAAAACTAAGCAAACCTATAAGGAGGTGGTGTAATATTACCAAACCTTGCTGTTCTCTAGATCTTTGAGTGTCATTTCCACAAGCTCAGAAAGTGCATCAGACAAATGGCGATGCGAGATTTCCTGCAGGTTGTAGTAGTTCGGATTCTGTGTCATACGACGGTATAGGAACGTCCAAGTCAAATACTAAAATATTTTCGCTTAAAATCGTTTGCATCTCGTAAACTCCGGCATTTTTTAATGAAAAGACACACAAACAAAATCAGCCTTACTTCGGAATCCGGAGTGATTCTGCATCATCAATAACCCTTGACTAGAATTTAAACGTGTTCTTAAGTCAACTCAAACACTCTTCTATACGTTAATCACTAGTTTATACAACTTGGTGCAAATAAAGTCACTAGTTGCATGAATAGGTTAATCAATAGATTCTGCTAACAGTACTTACTACTTGGTCCAACTTCAATGGTCCATAAACACCGGTTGTGCGGGCCCTAACACAATTTCCATTTTTTCGGAGCTTTGGTGGTTTAGCCTTTGTGGTTCTCTGAAGTCCGGAAATCAGTGTAGCTAAAGTGTGCCCCAGGTCATCACTACCCCAAGCAGTTGCCGCCCTTGCAGGTCAGAGGGAGATTTTCCACCATGCGATTAGTTTGATATCGGGACGCCGGTGGATCCTGGTACTAGTTTACCCTTAGCTGGGTTTCTTGATGGAAACGATGGACTCCTTCTTAGCTTGGGAGACCCTGTTGGAGGACGAATCCCTCTGATGTATATCACAGTTCGACAGCCAGGAACACTTCCCATCCACGATGAGGTGGTAAACCCTTGGGAGGCGCTACTTACTGTGCCAACGATATTCCGTAGTATCCGACTGTTAACGAAACTTGTCTGACAGTGGATAAAACGCATAAGTTCCCATGCATAATTGATTGCCTGCGTTCGGTACAAAAGTAACATTCATGATCTTCGATTTTTATGACACATTCTCGCTTACTGAGGCGGTAGTCGGTCTTTTGTAAACTGCTAGTTATTTTTCGATAATAAGAATACTTCAGTAGTTAATTGAGGAGAGGAAAACATGAATGGCTTATAGAAGGTAACATGTTCTACCTGTTTAAGATGGCAGACCTTTTTAAAAACTGTCTAATTCCTAAATTTGTTTCGAATTAACCCCCACTCCCCAAGAAATGAAAAGAACTCGCATTTTTAGAATTTCAGACGAAATTCCGGCAGCAATAAACATCAACAACGCATTTCGGAACATAATGGTATCGTAATGGACAAAATACAGCTTGCCGATTTGCTTTAATTTTCGAAATACAAGTGTCGAGGAAAAAGTACTCAAAACACATTTGGTAGGTTCCAGAAGACAGAACTTCATCCTAATAAAACAAGATAGTTTTTGTCCTGCATGTACCTCTAGAATTTGATAAATCACATTGCAGTTAAGCTCACAATGAGCTGAGATACGCTGGCTTAAAGTTCGAAACGGCCGTTATTTCGCACGATGTGGGCGGAAATCAACTCATGTCGGACCCTGAATGTTAAACTCTTTCGCCAAACGCAGTCTCAAGAATGTTTAACCATGCTTATGTGGTTTTGATATCTAAAACAAACTTTACCACCGAGAATTACGAGGTCGAGAAGAAAAAGTGTTTTTTGGCCAATATTTCTACAATTGTTGTAAGTTCGATATGGTATTCGTTTCCTCTTCGGCTTTTAAGCTAAGTTCTTGATCGCATTACTCTCTCAACTAGGATATACACAACTGGAAAACCCATACAGTTCGATCAATTGAGTGTGAATGGAGCATCTATAGCAACTATTCTCAGAATAGTTTCTATTTCTTTCTTTCTTTCTCTCTCTCTCTATATATATATATATATTTGTATCTTTCTACTACTGTATGTTTCAGTATAAAGGATCATATCCACTGTTTCTCAAGTTGCCTAGCAAATGTCGTAGTATGTAAATATTTCGACCCCATCCTTAGCAACTTCGATCGCTGTAAACAGTCTTGTTATGCAAACCTATTTTTGCAATCTGAACTCATTGTTTGTTACTGTCCAAAAGTCATCAAACGTACAATAACAAGAAAGACATGAGGATGTTTGCGAGAGCAGTCTTCCGCCAGATGTGGTTTTGACAGGATATGGAGACGGTAGCCGACGAATGTTTTCGGTAAAGATACTGGACCTGTGCCGAATACCGCCTTCTCCAGAAGCATATAAATAGCCTCGTTAATCGTTATCTTGGTTCGCCCCTGTCAGGGATCGTCGACTATCTAGGTTCCCCCTTGTCCAGCTTCGTCGACTATTCAGGTTCGCCCCTGTCAGGGTTCGTCGACTTTTTAGATCCGTACCGTATTGATCTCGTGTGTCACCAATATAGGTTATCGTAGTTGTAAAGTCATATAGCATGTAGTCATTATTGTACATTAACTTCATCATATCATTGTTAAATGACAATTGCGAATTGTACATTAGTTTAGCATCACCGTCACTACGTCACGCTTTCCATCAGTCCAGTGTATCCTCATCATCATCATTATCCTGATCCTCATCGTCGTGTCAATGTTCATTGCTTTTCAATTGGTCTGCGGGGTGTTGTCAGTAGCGGCGGCTATCCTCAAACGCGTTCTCTCTGAAACGCCATCGGTGGCATGTACCATTCCTCCCACACGGTACGCCATGCGTACAAGGCTGCTAGCCGGCCAACTTATGCTGTGTATTTGTTAAGCCGCTATAGGCTTATCATTTCTCAGTCGTTATCTTTCTGGCCTATAATCTCTTAAGCAATGGTGGCACCCATCGATGCTCAAACTTCACGTTATCCAAGAGCAACTGGTTGACCGTATTCCGCAGATGTCTCATCTCGTTCGTAGTCACTTCCACCATTGATGCTTAGGTAACTTGCTATCCTCATCGATCAATGTGCAAGTGCACCCAGCCGCTCTACATACGATCTCTAGCTTAGCCTACTGCAGGGCACATCTGCATCTCACTCGTCTGTTGCTCTAATCCTCGGCATCTGGGCCACTATACGCGCCAGTACGGGCGCCATCGTTCGTATCCCCTTACTTGTCATTGTTATCAAGTTGGTGTTATCATAGTACTAATGTTGTAATAGTACTATTTACAATACTCTTATTCCTTCGTAAGCCTCACTTTAGTAGTAGGTACAGCACCTCATAACCTTGAACTTGCCTTATTTGTGTGTCAGTAGTTCTCTGTCGATATTAGTGTTGCATTGATGATGCATTTATGTGTATAAACGGTTTGATTACCCAAGTTTGAGGTATTGCCCTGTGACAACTGTGAAAGGTCCCGCGTGGCATTTATCTCACGAAGTCGATCATTCTGCTAGAAGCTAGTGATTATTCGGTGCCGAGAACTGACTCGAAGACCTACTTTCGACCAGCAACTGCAGTAGCATTCATAGCAAATCCACTTCCCGTGACCCATTGAGGTCTTCACGTTCAATTGATGACTGGCCTATGCACCTCGTCGAAACCGTCCACCATACATCACGCTTGAAAATTTGGTACTGTAAAAGTGTGATATGGTGTAGCAACGACTAAGCAAGCCTTCAAGAAGAATTTTTCACCAGCAAATAAAATGCAGAGGTTTGGAACGTCGTTACGACCAGATTTGTGTCGAACTTAAAATGGAATGAGAAAACGACTGTGAGAAATCAGAGCAGGCGTCCTTGATGACATCGAAGGAGTCTTGTTAGAGTCACTATTCCTTAAATGCGCGGGAAGGTGACTATCGTCTCTTGTAAGTGGCAGACCTTGTGGTAGTCGCGGTCTCCTTTCCGAAGTAGTGAAGACGTCCAAAACTACCTATCCTCAATCCCTAAAATCGATTTTATTCTCTCTCGTAAGGGTCGCCGACGTAATCTATTGATGACTGAGACTCCTGTGGTGCTCACATTGGTCGACAATTAGTGGAACACGCACACTCTGGGAGTTTGGAATGGATCTTTCTAGTTTGCGTCACTAGGCCCTAAAGTGAAGTTAGTGACGCATTCCTAAAGGTGTTACACTGGATGACCGTCAACGTAATCTCTTTAAATTTTCATCGGCGAGGAATGTTCAACAACAACAACAACACAGTATGACTAGTCCATACCTGATAATCGTCGATAAGAGAGGTTAGTAGCTATTCAGTAGAGGGAAGTAGAAATTTGCATTAAAAAACATAAAATAATACAAAGTGGTGAAAAATAATATAAAATGTAGATAGATATAAAGTTCAAAATATAAGTTTTTAAAACAAAACGATTAACAAGAACCTACGTCAATTGCGTCTTGTTTATTCTCAATTGTCTTGGTAACAATTTCAGCATTGAAATGATCATGAAGACAATGATCAAGATGGGATTCCACAGGCAGTGGTTCATAAAGAAATTTCTTAAAGAAGTCCTTCTTCGACGATTGACACATCAATACGCATTTCGCTGAAACAATTTCAGATGTAATGAAAAACTCAAAAAAAACTGTCACGGATTCTGTAAGAAAGCTTGCTATTTTTAAGCAACATCACATGAATTTCACGGATCTACATGATCTTCACGCCACTCTTCAATGATAAGTCACTATCGTGTCATTTCACACTACGATAAAAATACTACGCCCTTGAAGAATATCGTGATACACACGGATACGACCATACGAGTGTTTCGCTTGAGAAAATGGAGTACATCCTGCCGAATACCTTTTTTATTACTAATATAAATTGACACCACTTTGTCGATAATTTCAAAACAACAGATTTGCTAGAAAAACGTTTAAGTTGGAGAAATTATTTGAACCGAAAACTTATTTGTTAAGTCGTTCTTTTAAGGTTTACTACCTCACTACCAGTGCGTGCTCGTGAGGGAGAGTCACAAAAGTTGAGCTTGGTTATACAATCAAAATGTTCTATGTTGTAGAGCTTCACATTTCCATGCAGAATCGCGGGGTAGCTAGAAATTCAACTCCGATCGATCAATGTTGCTGAATATCGAGTATGACGGCCTAGAAATGCTAGTGAGTATGTTCCCCAAGATCCCAAGAAAAGTGTCCATCAAAAAAAGCAATGCAGTAATAATATCTTACTTGTCCTTGTTTAAGCTAGAGTGAAGTTGTTGCCAGTCTTTTTTTCAAATACGCCGACTGGTTTTTCGGTGATTTCGGCTTCTTCAAAGCCTAGACGTGCTAGACACCCATATTCTATGATTTGGCTAATAATCCTTAGTTCTGGTAAAAACCTGATTCTCAAACCAAACCAAAAATCTGCTAATTATAATAAAATAACTCTCCGTTTTACTCCCAAATGGAGTATGGTTAATCCGATGTGCTTCACACACTACGAGCTATGAGCCATAAATCAGAAGACCAATATGAGAAAAACCGCCATTACGATGTGATGGTCAAGCGTTCTACCTTTCTACTCGTTTTCGGGTTTCTGAAATCTATTCAAAAACCTCAAGGCTTCTGGCACCGATGTTTTTAACCCTTCCTCAGGATCGTGTCTACCATCTCAAAATCGTCACCATACTGCCACTCTTCTGTATGCATATCCATCGAAATACTTCGTCGAGTTTTAATCTTTCCACCTTGGTGTTCTTTTATGCGGTCACAAAGTGGTTAACCCGTTTCACAAATATATCCATGACCACATGTCTTACAAGAAATCAGATGTATTGCACCAGAACCCATACAGTCTCACGTCTCTGCCGTTAAGGAAAATAATGCAGTTCTCTATTTTACACAGACGGTTATACAGGCAGTTCGGAACAAAATGACGACAGTATTAGGTGAAACTTCTGTAACTGTGACAGGGCTCTCCAAAGCACTGTTTTTAAGGCATCTCTTAATAGCGATGGTTATTTCGTTTGATATGAAACGTAGCTTCAAAGGAATCTTCTTATTTGGATATGGGATATAACTGTTTTGGAGCCTAGCTTACCTTTCAGACCTAACCGCAGTAGTTGTTACATCGAAACTACTTAAGATGGCTATTTGCCATCCTAACTGTAGTGATTACTTTCTCTCTTCATCTCCTGTACAAACGCTCGTAGCTGTTTCGTGCACTTTCAAATCTTGATTTGCCATCTATTCTTTTCTCACGGAATGGTATTATTAGAAGTATAACCACAAGGATGTTGAGATAACAGCAAAACCCAGTACTTCGAACCAGCGATTACCCGTTCCTGCGGCTTACGTGCTATCTATCTACTGCACCAATCGAGACTCTTACTTTGCCTTTTCTCAATCATTTTTTTTTGCTCTATCGGTGCTACCAGCAATCATCCGTCAACGGGAATGATTTGGGGAGCACAAATCTGCACTGAACCCAATTACCCTCGGGAAAGGATAATCACATGTTCAAAGCGCACCTGAGGTTCTAAGTTTTGCTCATACCTGTGCAACCTTATGGTTGTTAGATATATTTTTCGGATAAACACTACTATACTTATACTTCTTGGCTTTCGATACCACTTTGTGATGTAGCCAATTTCGAGTGTGAGTACATGAACACTTATGAACGGAAGGCAGTTCTCTTCATGAAGAACTCATGTGAACTTCATATATTCTAACTGTTAATTCAACAGTTCTAAACATTTGTCCATCTTTTCTTAAGCAAAGCGGATAAGACAATTATCTGTGTATCAACAGCGAAGGACGACTATCGAGAACAAAAACTTACACTTCAGACATAAACCAATATCAAGGTATTCTGCCAATCGCTTTCCCATTTCCAACCCTCTATCCGATATGTGAGTAATACATTCCAGACTACTAAAAAATCGAACAGCTAAGGAACTCTTTTAAGAGACTCATGAGCTGTTCAATCGAAAAGTCACGCATCTTTATCTTCTGTTCATGTTCTATGAGCAGGTCGTGAATGGCTCGTATTGTGGCGTCAGTTAGATCATTAGCCTATTACGTTAGTAGTACATTAACAGAAGTCCTTCAAAAAAGAGTGATTCAAGAATGAAAAAAATGGATAAATTCGGCAACTTATACCGTTGACGATGAACACATCTTAAAAAAGATATTCACAACGCAAAATTCAATGCCGAATATTCACTTCTGCAAAATAAAAAAAATAGCAAAAAAGTATCCCTATAGATCAGATTATCTATGTCTCACAACTGTTGTACTCCGTTCAACACTTTCTATTTAATCCAATACACTCTTCATTGCCTAGTTTCCTTGCAATTCCATCAATTATTCATCCGTGGTGTATTTATAGTGATAACGAAAGAGTACACTGTACTATAACTCGTTGTCTTGTTTATAGTAACATATTTCCAATGTTTGAGCACTCACCATCTGGATCTCTACCAGGTCTATTCGCAAGTCCAACTATGTGCAACACGTCTCCAATGGGATAATCCTCATAAACGTGATATTTTCCATTGTAAAATTGCGTGTCCATAATAACGACAAGATATGCCGACATGTCGATTTGGTAGCACATTGTACGAGGAACGATACATACCTAAATGAAGAAAATTAGGATTGAACAATTTAAACTTCTCCTCCAAAGAACTCACTTGAATAGCACCACTGCTGAAAAGCTTCTCAACAATTTGGAAATCCTTTGCATGAGTTCCTTCATGCAGAAAACCAACTCCGCATAGTAGAGTTTCCCGTAAAGTTTGGTCCTAATAAAAACCGCTACGTTAAACATAATAATTTTCCAGTGATCACATTTCACCTGCAGAGAGTCTAGGAGTTTCACAAATGTTTCATCCTTCTCGCTAATATGAAGAAATCTTTGAGGAGATCCATCTGCATGTGCCATTGTTAGCAAGTCAATCGCAGTAGAACGGGACTGACGACGGCCAGGCACAAATACCTGTAACAAGCAATGATAAATAAATGGTTCAATATGAAATTTGCTTGGATGAACATACCAATGCTGGTTTTGGATTTAGTTTTCCAGCATGACGACTGATTGACTGGTACACAGGACGTACCATTGCAGCTAATCGTGAAGCCGTGTGTGACAAATTGAAACCCTAGAAAAACCAGTAATTTCCTTTGTTCTCCAAACCTACGCGACATAATATGGAAACCGTTTAGAAAACGAAAACATTTAAGAACTGAACACCTGTATATAGAGTTCCAGTGGAACAGGTCGAGTATTTGGAAGGAAGTTAAACGTCGCTGCTGCTGAACAGCCAAGCCATGCACCAACGTCACGGGCATTGGTTAGCGAAGAGGCCAAACCCACAATACGAACCGTTGTATCGAGTTGAGCAGACATGTACCGCATTCGTGAGCAGATCACTTCCAAAACCGGCTAAATATCTTGGAATAAGAACGTCCTTTACGAGGAGCTGACCCGAAAACAAAAATAGGAAATAAACACACTCCAACTGCGCTTCCGATCATGTGCAAGTCATCTACAACAAAAAGTTTCACAGCTTGAACATTTTTTCGCTGCTTCCATCGACGAGAAACGTTGTCCCACCTGTAATAACAACCTATATGCTTTTCAATCAATGTGCGCATAAAAAGTGTTTAAAAATGTAAGAAAAAATATGTGACTACAAAAAAGTCTTATACCGTTCAGGAGTAGCAATTATTAATTTGCCACGTTGTAACAGCTTAAGGTCAGTCGATGGCTCACCAGTTAAGAGTACCACAGGTCTGTCCAGCGGAATACCAATTCGGTCCTGCCAGTCATTGTACACCTGTACAAAGAATTATGAAAATTATATTCTACAACCATTTTTTTTAACTTCAATAAAATGTGAATTATCAAAACCACAGTTAATACATCGTACGTGGACCGAAACTTGCTGATTATCCTGTCCTTCTAATAATTACCTTTAAAGCCATATCCTCCATGGGTGTAACGTACACACATTTTCCATCGGGATGATTGTCAAAATGCCGAAGGATTGCCAATTCAGCACATGCCGTCTTTCCAGAACCATTTGGAGCTGCTATCAAGACGTTGTCATTACTCTCATATACCGTTCGGAATACTAAAAATTACCAACAAATAATGGCTTTGACTGAAAAGTCACAAAAACGCTGCTATAATAAAGTAGACTTAAAGCGATGTGAGACATTCTATGGTGAATTAAAAACCAGTTATTTTGTTCTTATGAACTATCCTTGATGGAATCACACACGGTTTCTAACACACATTCTTCGTTTTCGATGGTAACGCCCCGGCAAATCCGCCTTCTTCAGAGCCGTTTTTGTTTAATCTAGCAGTGAGAGGACCCATATGTTGCTCTCATAGGATGATAAGTAGCGATAAGTATCACTGGTCTCAATTCTTAAAAAGAGAAAACAAATTGTAACATTTTAGGGCCTGGTTTATGCTGACTTTCCTGCTGATTTAGTTAAAAAGCATAAAAGGACAAAGCTCTCCGCGATGCTCTATCCCTGAGAGATGCGCCATTTATTCGATAAAAGTAAGCATCGCTGAAGGTGACTAAATGCATATCCGGCCTTTACAATGAATTGCTGTGTCCTACCGATGTATCGAGCCAGTGCTGCTATCCTCCCAGACAAGTCTGGTAGCAATTTGTCGACCCGGAGGGCTCAGTGGCTCTGGGGCGCGGGGATCGACCCATAAGTATTGCAGTAGAATATTTATGGAATAACATTGTATAACAAATCGCCTAGAAGAAAGAGAAGTTGCCGAGGCGTATCTTTCAAAAACCAAAAAAAAAAAGTTAACAACCCCGTGTCAGTCCACCAAGCACATTTCACTGGAACAAAACAACTTGATTACTAGCGCCAAGATAGGCTACTGTAATTGAAAGGCGATCTTTCGAAAACTGATGACGACACCAATTTAGAAACGGTCCTTTGAATGACTAACAATCACCTAGCTCACTAAATATTTGTACTTGACTAAACCTTGTGTTTGTATTGGATTGAATATCTTTATTTCCTTGGCTTGGAATACAGCTTCGAAATTCTTGTTGTTTAGAGTTGATATTGGCAGAGGTTGCAAATCCAGTAACTCGGTCGGAGGAGGATATTTTTCGGGAAGTACAAGATGCCGAAAAGATATAGGAAGAACCTAAAAGAAACAAGCAGTAGAGCACTACAAGAGTGTTTCCCATTGTGAAAAGGCAAAATAATCACCGTCTCCGAACCCAGCCATTTATCCGATACAATTCGCACGAAGTATAATGGCGGTAGAGGGTCAAATACGGGAACGAACATCTTCACAAGATGTTCTTCAGTACAAAACTTCCTACAATTCTCAAATTCGAATGCAACAATTGGAACTCTGCACGAATACAGCCCCAACTCGAACAAATGAAAGAAAGAATCTGCAAAGCACGGTAGGACGCCGTTATATTCTATCATGAATATCAACTCCGACTCACTGCTTCAGAAGGAAATATTCGTGATGAAGTATTAGTTCGCCATCGACGTCCTCCACGAAAATCCAGAAACCTTCCGCACTTCCGTGTACTCTTAAAATTCGTTGCTTAAACTGAGTACAAAGTCTTTCCTAAGAACTCAAAAAAAAACATTACTTTTCATCCCACTGAAAATCTGGAGTTATTGTCAACTCAATGCGAAGGGTGGTTCTGGTGATTGGTTGGATCAACGTAGTCATTTCCAATTTAGGAATCTGTAAAAACTTGCGGTAAACTTGTATAGAAAGATCCCGGAATTTCTGGTTCATCATGGCGACATCTCGACTTCCTACCACTTCTTAGAAGCGACACTTCACCGACAAATGCAATATGTGTGTCATTTAACAGAAGTTATTCCGCTGAGTATTAAAAATCAGCAGCGTATTCAATGGAACTTTGTAAACAATAAAAAACGAGGCAATGGATAACACCCATCTTTAGCGAAAATGACAAACTTCGAGTAAATGGTTGGGAGGTTTTGGTCTATTTATCTTATTCACTAGACAATGCATCCCCTAGTTATTAACTATGAAAACTACTGCACAAACGCTTGTTTAAGTACTATGATTTCTTAAAAAGCCTGGAAACCATACAGATTAAATCTTTGCCTAAAATCGTAGAAGTACTAAGAACAAAGGATGACGCAATTACTACAAAGCTAGCAGGAAGCCACCGAACAGAATGCTATATATAAGTATGTATATATATGTGTATATATATAATATACATACGTACGTATACATATATATATGTATAAACGTACATACGTATATATATATGTATATTATAGAAACAAGGAAAACATGCATGTGTATGTACACATATATGTATATATATATATATATATATATAAATGTACATCTATTATGCGGATACCCGCATTTCTCGCATTTGATTCGTTTCCGCGCATCGACCATCCACAAAGTTCATTGAATCTTCCGTGTCTGGATTCAGCTGCTGCCTGTGGATTGTCGTCTTCTTATAGATATCAATGAAGTCTCGTCGAATCGATTATCCCTGGAGTCCTGGGATGGCTGAGGTGACCGTTCTCAGACAAGTCTGGTAGAAATTTCTCGACTCCAAAAGAATGAAAAGTTTGGTGAGCACGGGACGCGTGTGATCGACACCGTTCTCGTAATGAACGCCACCATTACCAGTAGACTTTTTGTATATATATATATATATATATATATATATACATATATACGATTACCTATTTACTTTCTTAAATATCACCATTTTAAAGAAATAAATTCATCATGATTCCTCGAAAATATTACGATGGATTCTTGAACTAAGATAGCACTTTTGATGAAGCGATATCACAATCAAAAGCTCTTACCTGTCTGATAAATTTGTATAACGGCTTTCCCATTTTTGGCATTCGAATTAACTCTCCGAGTTGATGTTGATCAAGATCATAGAGACGTTCGAAGGAGTAATTTCTCTTGTCGATACTCCGGACGATCTAAACCAATATATTTAATTCTTAAAATTTCAGGTATGGGATAATATGAACCCTTTCACGGTGGCATACCTCAGTTGGGATCTTTTTAAACTGATGAAGAGGATTAAGAGACTGCCACTGACGTGCTGTCACCATCTTACACAAACTCAGAACTTTCTGAATAAAATATACCTTAATAATAGGTAATAATAGGCATATAAGCAATTTCATGAATCAAAAAAAAAACCAATGACAATAACGACGATAGTGAAAATAAATAACTGTAGTAAATAAAAACAATAGGTTACATTAGCGATACTAAACAGTGAACAATTCCATCACTTTTTGAATTTTATTTTACAGGACCCATCTTTACATCCACTGTGCAGACCCAACACCTGAATTCAATTCGTTTCTTCACATCTACCATCCACCATGGCCTTCGAATTTTTTGCAGATTAACTAGTGTTTGAGGATCGTTGTCTTCTTCCTTATAATTATCTTTAAGTGATAGTTGAGTCGATTCTTCTTGGAGTAGTGGGAGAGCCAGGTTGAGTGTTCCCACTTACACTGCAGGGAATGAGCTGTTACCAGACAATTCCGGTACAAACTTTTCTACCTTAATGAAATGGGAGCCTTGGCGAGACCGGTGTGAGTTCGAACCGGCACCGTACTCTTGAACCCCGGCACCTTCACCGCTGCGTTACCCCCCTCCTCTCTAATAACGAACAATAACAAGATGCAATACTAATATTATCAACGGCCAATAGTGCCACATGTTAACACGTTTTTAAGCGCTAAACATCAACAGTTTACAAACCAAAGCTAAAGCAGCCCATCCTCGCCAAAGGACGATCTCATAAAGAGCACGGAAAAGACGACCTGCTGACTGTGCAATAAATATCATATCAGATTGAAGAGCAAATCCATCCAGTTTCAACTGAGAGATATAAGCCTTAAAAAACGAATATATTGCAATATAAACTAGACCTGAACAAAAAACGATCCCGCCGGACACATACCTGAAGCAAAACGTTGGTTTTAGCGCTGCTCTCATCCAGGCTTTCTTTTATGGGAATCGGTACATGCTCAGCAAGTTTTTGAAGCTCCAATTTCTCTTCCTCTCGAACCTCAAAAAGTGCAAAAATAAGCAGCATCCATGAAGACATTACTGAATGAAATTCGTAAAATTCGACTACTAACCGCAATATTTTTAAATTCACTCGAGAGGGAGAAAATGCGGAATAAGTCGATTTCTGTTGCCGTTGGTTTCAACAACTGGTTGTAAGTTTGCATCGACTCGAAGCTACAGTAGTAATGAGATGCGATTCGACCCAACTCAGTTGCCTAGAAGAAACAGATATGATGGAGAAAAATATTTACGAAATACCACTAGTATAAAATGACGACAACAAAGGATAAAAAGGATAAAGCTCTCAGAGTTGATTTGTCCTTCAGGGGTGCGCTCGACCTAATTAAGCCTCGTTGGAAGGTGATTGAATTCATATCCGGCTTTTACAGTGACTCGCGGTGGCCTACCGATGCATCGAGCCAGTGCTTCTACCCTCCCAGACAAGTCTGCCACCAATTTGCCGATCTCGGAGAAATGGAGGGCTTGGTAAGCATGGAGAACGAATATGGGTCCCATTTGTACTGCAGGGTAACTCTGACCACTAGGCTACACGCGGAAAGATGATGATAGTGGGCAGCAAGTGTTGCCCGTGTTGGAAATCTGATGATCCAGCCATAACACTTTATTCTTCACACCACCATTAACAATGCACTATTCTCACCTGGATTAACCCGCTTTTCTTGTCGTATTTTACAAGATTGCCTTTGTCCAGCTGCAAGCACGCGGTATGAATAAGGTCTGCACGACGTTGCTCAAGTATAGGGTCTGCTTTCTAAACGATAAAAATATTCACTTAAAAAAAGTGCGAAAAATGCTTATAAATCAAATATCCCTCATTGAATGGAACTATTCCCTCAGAATTTCAAATACTGTAACAAAAATGACGTTAAATAATCCCGGATAATCAAAAATTTTAATAAACTACCAGATCGTAATAACCGTGATAAACCACGATAAAAAAACAACAAACCGCCTGATCAGCAGGAATTCCGTAAAGAGTAGGAGATTTCAACATGCGGATGTACAGGTAGGTGTAACCTAACCAGGACATTGCATCGCTTACGCTGCTGATCGTACCAAGGACGACTTCTGCATTCAGCATATCAGGTAAGCGACCAATCATCTGGCTTTCAACAGGTAACTAAAAAGGTACAACACTAAATTACAGCTATAAACAGAGTTGAAAACAACACATTAAAACATTTGCAGAGACCTGCTGATTCATAAGTGAAAGGTAGAACTGTAATTCAGAATGATTTGTAATTAATATTCCTTTGCCCTTCGAGTCATATTGAGGACGACCAGCACGACCAAGCATCTGAGACACAGATACATAGATAGAATTACAGCATTAAGCCCACAGAAATGACTAACCTGCATGACATCAAGTGCACCGAGTTCGGTCCACCGCCCTTTCTCCGGATTGTAAATCTGTGTTCCTTTGATTATGACAGTGTGGGCAGGCAAATTGACACCCCAAGCGAGAGTAGCCGTTGAAAATAACACCTAAAATCAGGAAAATGGTAATTTAAATCAGTTGGACACAGATAATCTGAGAAGGTACTAGAAAGTATGGATATGGAAGAGCTAGCACTATGTGATCACTCACCTGGATATGCTTGTCAGCGAACAAGTCCTCAACCAAGGTACGATCAAGTCTGTTCATTCCAGCGTGATGTATAGCGAAGCCGTATGGCAAAAGATCCTTTAAATCGTGGTTCTTCACCTGAAAAATAAAACAAACTAGTAACGTACGACAGTTAAATATTTTTCCTCACTTACTTGTTCAGCTTCTGTCCGAAGAATTTCAGTGCTTGCACTTCCTTCGCGCATGAATGCACTCAAAGTATCTTTTTCAAGACAGGAGTCACGGATCGCTTTTGCCGTTTTAGCTGTTTCTTTTCGAGAATGCACAAAGATAAGGACCTAGAAATCCATGTATGCATATGTATGCACATATATACGTGTACATATATAAATGTCAACCTGGCTTTTACCAGCATGCTCCATGATTTTGTCATATACTACTTCATTCATAGCCTGAAACCGTTTGAGCGCTTTCTTCTCGGTGACTCCTTAAAACTGACTACATCTACAGCAGTTCTCTACGAAAAAAATGTTTAAACACAACAATTACCAATGTACTGTTGCTCTAGTGGCACCGGACGATAACTATTGTCGAAGTAATACAAATGCTCCGGTTTTACGCGAAGAAATGTTCCCACGTCCTGGTAGTTAGGCAGAGTTGCGGATAACCCCACAAGGCGACAGTCATCATGGGTTTGTTCAACTTGTCGCAATGTTCTGCGACGAAGCCATTAATTTACTTTTCAAAAAAGAGAAGTACGAATTCATCCATTACATTAACATTAACTACCTAACAACAATTGCTTCTAAAACTGGACCACGATCGTCATGAAGTAAATGAATTTCATCAATAACAACAAGCCGAACAAGTTGACTGTATGCGCGTTCACCACCTTAACAACATGAACTTCTTCTAAATGCACTTATTTCGTAAAACGATAAAGCAATACCGTACCTTTCCTTGAAACTATATCGTACTTCTCTGGTGTGCAAACAATTATTTGAGTAGCCATAAACTGTTCTTTACTCATCTGCGCATCACCAGTCATTTCCCCGACCTAAAATTTTTCTCTTAGATTCGCAGCATTATGAATCACTTGTTATTTTTAAACACCTAGCACTTTGAATCAAATATGCCTCTAACTAACCTTAATCCCAAACGGTGCCAGCCTCTTGGTGAAATTCCCAACCATTTCTTGCACAAGAGACTTCATCGGAGCGATATATATGCATTTGAACTCGTCCACTTTAACGGACCCGTCTTCGTTCATATGTTTACCGATTTCGTGTAGAATAGCCAGTAAAGCAACATTTGTTTTACCTGCTCCCTAAAACACTTAACAGGTAAAAACAGAAAGATGACAAAACCAACTGCTTCAAAACTTCGAGTTCATTGGCGCTCAAAACATACAGTTGGAGCGCATAGTAAGAGATGTTCGTCACTGTTTAGTGCACTCTCGTAAAGACGAGATTGAATGCGATTCAGAGATCTGAAACCCTCGAAGGCTGGCTGCGCCCACTTTGGAAGCTCGCTTATATCGATTAATTTCTAAAAAGCGACAAATGTAATAAATATGAAGGGACAAGTACTCATAGCACGGATATTGCATAACAGATAACACACCTCCCCTTCTGCAAATGGCTTTGGTTTCAGAGCCGGTACATGAATTTCTTCATAACTCTTTTTCTGTTTTCTATATGATCCATCAGGTAGCTCACATCTGAAATATGCGAAAAATAAGGGACAGTAAAAGTATTCCCTCCACTATGCCTACATGGATATTTGTCACTAAAAAAAATTGGAACATCTCAGACAACTGTAAAGTGAAAGTTAGTACAAGATATATTACTCGCTTATACTCCACTGCTTGAAATGGTTAACAACATAACTTTGTTTGGTATTTTAGGGCATTACAGTGCACGTACGAGGGACTTTTCCTAGTTATCACTGTAACCCTAAGTCTGAAATTCGGCTGAAAAATCTGAAAATTTGTATCCCCTATCCTAGCTGAGAATGCTGGGAACCTAGAAGCAGTTTAATAATGCAGTAGCAGACTCCGTCCCATCAAAAAAGCCCCGGTGAATTCTCGAGGCAACGATCTCAGAATGCACAGCTTTCTTGGATCTAAAAAAAACTTGCAAACCAATGATATTACAACTAGACAAAAAGCGTGTTGGACCTAACAAGAATGCTAGTACCAACATGTCACTCAAGTGTTTAAGTATACAAACATTACAAAACAATAGGCTCAGAAAGAGTTTTAAACATTGTGCTGCTGTTCTCGAACTCACGTACCTCTTGTTACTCATCAAATGGCTTCCCTGTGCAAATGCCAAGTCTTCCAAATCAAGAACCTTCCTACCGGCCAGCCATTGACCCGCAGCGACAGCTTCTTCACCAGCTGCTGCTGCTGCACGTCTTTGAGCTGTCTTTTCCCGCTTGGCTCGTTCGGTCTAGAATGTTGTCCGTTTAAGCAATTCTTTCCAATTTATTTTTTCATCGTAGCAAAAAATGTCGAAATTTACCTCAACAATGTCGGCTTCATCTGTTTCTAGAAGTTGGGCTAAAACATGATGCAATTCTGGTCGCATCTTCATCTCTTCCTCAATCTGAATTTTTTCATAACAAACAGTCAAGTATTGCAGCTTGTGAGCAAATGAAGGTTCAAACCTTGACTCTCTCCTCATCTTGCGCCTGTTTCAACAGAGTGCAGTATAACACCATATGTCTGTGTTGACGAAGAGTACGAATGAAATCAAAGTGATCAAAACCGAGAAGAAGTACGAGCTTGTTCTCACATTCACGGTCGTCCGCCGAATCCTAGCGAATAAATGAAAAGGTAATCGGGAACGTTAATGAAGAGATGCGCATTTCCATTGTTTGTACTAGGATTTCCCACTCTCTGCTAAGCACACTACTTAGATCCAACCATTAAAAATGTTGACTTCGAAAAAGCAACTATGAAAAATTTAGTCATTCCGATAACCTTTAAATGCTGACCTTCAAAATGCTAAGCACTTCTGTCACTTTTTGCTGTGCAACAATTGGATCATTGAAGAACTTCGCAAGAGAACGTTGAATCCAATGGGCATCAATATCACGTGGATGAAGGGTATCCTTTTTGGCACCTTCTTTCTCCTGTAGAAATAAACAAATAACGGTAAAAGTGAAGATAAACTAGGCTAAAGAACACGTATACAATATTACAAGACATAAAAACAGCCAATTCTATCACAAACCTCATCAAAACCACCTCCCCGCAAAGTTTCGTTGTGCTCAGCTTCTTCTCCACCTTCGTCGTCGCTAGAGCTTTCGTCCACATCTATAAACAGGAAAGTCCGTTACTGTTCCACTCATATATCATATGAGTAATATTAGTACTTGGATACTTGGATGGACCGTTCTCACCAGTTGTGCGGGCCCCAACATAATTTCCATTGTTCCGGAATTTTTGCTGAGTTAGTCGATGTGGCCCTTGGAGTCCCGAGATCAGCCTAACCAAAGTCTGTCCCAAGTAGTCATCACCATAGGCAGTCGCCGCCCTTATGGATCAGGAGATTTGCCACCATGCGGCTTTGACAACAGGACAGTGGTGGATCCTACTATTGGTTTACTCTTGACTAGGCTTTCTGATGGAAACACCAGACTCCTTCTCAGCTAGGAAGACCCTGCCAGGGGATGAATCCCCCGCTGTAGATCGCAGCTCGACATCCAAGAACACTTCCCAGCCATGGTGAGGCGGTAAATCGTTGGAAATGATATGAATATCATAGAGTAATATGAATAACAAATATTAATATAGAAAGTGCTCGAGCTACAAATTACTACAGACGCGAGAACATGGCAGCTCAACTCCATGAACAACCCATTCTAAACAAGAAAGAAATCACACTTGTTTTAACGTAACAAATAGACTTCAATGTACGGTATATGCAACCTGACATCAACCATTAGTTTGCGGCACTTCACTACGACAACAACCTAATTGAACAAAGTGGCCAAACGATGCATGGAACAGCATGTCAGATTCACTTACTCTTGATTTCGTCAATTACAGCGTCTTGTTCCTCGTCTGACTCATCGAAATGGACATTAACACCCTCATTCTCATCAAGCTCGTCCTAGAAAATGTTCTAGCTACGAAGTAACAATGCACAGAACTCATTAATAATGGCAATGAAGTCTCACAGTTTCCATTTTGTGCTCTTCTTCCATTGAAAAATCCGTTATTTTTCGAGCCAAATTGATAAGGACCGCTGTTCTTTCATCAGTCAACGAGCCAAGCAACAACTCAACCTACAGAAAAAACACCACAGGTGCATCCCACTCTCCAAAAAGATCTCAGAGTACCTCCTTCTTCTTCTCCTTCTCGCGGATTTTATCCGATTTCAAGACAGCCAAAACCTCATCGGCTGCACCGCACAAGATATCGCGAGGCTACAAATACCGACACTGATTGAATATAAACTACCTAGGAACCACGAAATTCATAATGAAATCAAATCACCTGATCGCCAATAGCTTCTTGTATAAATGCCAAGATGACTTCATATGTCTGTTTCGTTTCTTGCGTACGTGGTTTATAGCTTCCCATAAGCTCCGTGTTGTCTCCCAATACAGATTTTGACATAAGTCGGAAATCCTCCTCTTCAGTCTTCTTCCTTCTGAAGAACTAACACGTTGCTGAATGCAAATAAAGTATAACAATGATGACGCTTAGATATTTGCAAAACTTCGGACCGATAGTGACTGCGATGTGGGCCGCAACCGCTATTACCCTTTTCGGAGGCAAACGCGTTCACCACCACACCTTGCGAACCCTTCGTTTCGCCTTTCTCTTAGCCATGTTGTTGACCTATAGGTGTTACCAGCAATCACCCTCAACAGGATTGATTTGGGGAGCACGAGTTGATACCGAGATTAAAAAGTCAATAACACGGTTGAGAGAAAGATGAAACGAATGGCTCACATGGTGTGGTGGTGAACGCGTTAGGCCTCGAAAAAGGTAATATCTTGCTCGGTCCGTACCGCAAACACCAGCGGTCCGGAGTTTCGCAAATATCTCAGCTTCATTACGGTTATATTTCACATAACACTATTCCATTAAAAAAGAGAAGGCAGTAAATAAAAAGCGACGACGTTGAAAACAATTTGTTCGAAAAAAGAAACGAACCGTTTCTTCTTCTGCTCTTGGATAGGTGCTTTCGTACGCATATACTTGTCGCCCATTTTCATACCTTTAAGGACGCGATCAGAAAGTGGGAGCACCTCACCAGTCGGTTCCTCACGACCACGACGATCAGTGAGGTTATAATCGACTTGTAATACCAAGTTAGAATTCTGGAAGATAAGGGAATTGTATTTGGAATAGGAAATGAATGAGCTTCGTAAATCAAACCTGACGGTATTCATATTGTTGTACGCGTGCTAGTTCATCAGCCATCTTACCCAGCGAATTCTACTTTTCGTGACTAAAAGTACTTTTCCGAGAACTTCCAATACCTAAAAAAATTTCCAAGCTCCTGAATGTTAAAGCGAAAGAATACAGCTCTACCCCACAAGTAATCCGGAAGCAAAAGAAACCGTCTAATCAGAGAAATGAGATCCATCTAGAAGTATTTAATGCATAATTATTATATTACAAATGTGTACAAAGTTCACAACCAATACAAGGGATATAACACTACTTGGAAGTAATACTATCGGGAGTCTTCAAGATAAATGACGTAGAATAACAACTGCAAAGCACAAAAACAAAAGAGGGGTCGAAAGTTAAACGTGGTAAAGCCAAATAAGCGGGTACAACTTCGAAGCCCTGGAAAGTCCGGACTGAAAGTTTGAACCTAACAACCGGAAAAGACTTTTTCAAAACTCAAGAACAAATCACATAAGGAGATAAAGCGATCTACAAGGATATTCGTCAATGCTCTAGCAGGGAGCCTAAAACAGAAGACGAGATCTGAGTCAGCAGTTTTCAAAAAGTAAGAACTACAGAGCCTTACCACTGCTTTGCCGCTTAGCCCTAATAGCATCGCTGTCATATCTGGCAACAGTTCGAGCTGCTGTTACCAAATGCACTAAGCTTATAGCCGATTTTACCAATGCGATTGGAAAAGCGATCGCGGCGAGATATGAGAGGAAGTAAACTCCAAAGATGACAGGTCCTGGATAGAAAGCTCGAAGATACAGAATCAAATAAAACGCCTCGTTTCCGCCGCACATGAATCCAAGGAACTGTCGATTTGTGTAATAGAGGTGCAGTATCGGATTATTGCTCTTCTTATGAGTATCAGCACGAGTCAAATCGGTCCCATGAAGGTGAAGCCAATGTGCAGAAATATCAATCATTGCACTCATCTAAATGACAAAGAGAAAATCTGACATAGCACAAGCATGACAGAGCAGGTATGAATCCAGACCTGAATCCAGAACATGTGATCCGGATAAAATCTGCACAGTGCCATACAAAGTGCCATAGTACCACATCGATCTGTAAGCTGATCCAGCATAGCACCGATTCTGCTGCACTGGTCGTATTTTCGTGCAGCCCATCCATCTAGTGAATCCAAGAACGCACTTAGTCCATAGCTATAACTTTTGAATAACACGTTATTGATACACTGAAAAAAGAATTATTGCTCCTAATAATTCAGATGTTTGGATGGCCTGCCTTCAGTGGTTGCGCGGGCTCCACCATAATTTCCACTTTTCCGGAGTTTTGTTGGTTTACCCATTGTGGCTCCCTGAAGTCCTGGGTCACCCTAGCCAAAGTCTGCCCCAGATCGTCACCATCACGTGTAGCACGTGTAGTCGCCGTCTTCGTGAATTCCTGATGCTGAGGACTCCTTCACAGCTTGGAAGACCCTGCTGCGGAGATGAATCCAGCCACCCCTTGTACATCACAGGCCGACAGCCACGAAGAAGTGGTAAACCGTTGGGAGTGTATACAATCACAGAAGCATGTATGTACACACACATATAAAATTTTGCTGAAACATATATGTATGTATGTAAGGTGAGGTGGGGTATGTTGAAGTACAAAATAAAAGATAAAGAGCTGGAACTGACCAAAGCATCGCAAGAATTGGGCTATCACCCATCAGATAACAGGCAAAAATGGCCAAGATAATTCGCCCATAGCCAATGAGGTTAGGATAGAAGAGAAAAACATTCGGTTCGTTCTTATCCATATCTAAGAAAAAAGCTTTAGCAATTTGCCATCTGGAAATGTTCAGTTCATAGATAAATACCCGGCTATAAAAATTATAGAATGAGAAGGATCCAAGATGCACAGAGAGTCACTATAGATCGCAGGAGTTATAATATATAACGAAACTCTTAATATATCAGAAAACAAGGAAAGTACTGCTTATTCACTCTCCACTCAACATCCTCAACAACCACTTCATGATGACTTGATGACAGGGAGGAATGAATGATAGCAAAATGCTGACGTTCCCTTCCAGAAAGCGCCTCCGCCCTTCTCCATCCATCCATAACTGGTTTCGAGCTTTTGAGGGAATGAAAACATTAACATATTAGAAAACAAGAGAAGTACTGCTTATTCGCTCTCATCTGAATGTCCCCAATAACAATTTCATGCTGACTTGACGACATAGAGGAATACATGATAGGAAAATGATGACGTTTTCTCCCAGAGAGCTCCCGCTTCTCTTCCATTCATTCATAACTGGTTCGGAAGTTTTGAGAGAACAATGATATAATAAAGCTCAACAAATATTCGAAACTCTTGCGACGCGTACGCAGTGTTGCCAGCGTTGGCGGTGGGTCGCGCTATCGCGCGTTGGAGTAGAATTCTTCACTTCGAAGCTTCTCGAAAGAAATTCGCTGGAACGACTTTCTGCTAATCTCTGCATTGACCAAATAAACATAGTTGATAGCAACTATAAGTTGAAACACCACTGAAACGCGAAGCGAAAGACTCGCATGGTGTGGTGGCGAAAAGATTAGCCTTGGAAAGGGTAATAGCCTGTTCGATCCCCCTCACAGACACCTGTGGTCCGGAGGAGTTTTGCAAATATCTCAGCGTCATTTATCAAATAGTTCAAGGAGCAGACCGAGGTTGTTAAGAGCAAGATTTATTCAGTACAAAACGGGCTTCAGTTATTTAAGCTTAAAGTTTTCTGTAAGCACCTATCCATATCCATTTTTGGAGAGTATCTAGTATGAAAATGAATCCAATTCAATGTAGTACTTCCTAAGTGATCAGTCGGATGCAGAAAAACATCGGTTGCTTTAGCTAGGTAAATTGGTCGACCGCCTAAGGAGTCGGATCACTACCACTGCGCTATCAGCTCCTTGTTGTGTCAAGAATGATAAACCGATAACGATATATACAAAGATTTCACTCAGTAGATGAAATATAGCAATATTTCAATTCGAAACATCTTTTTTGTTTCCTTTTTTTCTTACATTTAATGCAGGAGAGGAAAGTGTGGCACTCAGTGGTTTACCGTAACAGTAAGGTGAAGCTTGTTGGGTTGCGATGTACATTAGATAGTTCGCCTTCATCGGCAGCTTCACCTTAACTAGAACGTAGTTGAACATTCGCATCCGAATGGATAACGTAGAAGTTCGTCACATTGTTTCTGCTACTCTTAATGGAAGGAATTTAACCATAAGGTGGAACACATTTTGCGACTCACAAAGGTCAACGATCCCCTGTGAAGATAATACAGCGAACACTTATGAAGGGCTTCCTCAAAATTCCGAGAAAAAATCTTGCGCACCTATTAACGGACTAGTCAAATGAAAATCGTGCCATGGAATTTTCGTGATTCGTCATATAAACAAACTATTCATATACTCACATACTCACAACGATTCTAAGATATTGGCGAAACTCCAGATAGAAGGTGTCTGAGGCGTAGATCGAACCCGCTCCTACTTTTGCCGGGAGCTAACTTGTTCACCACTGTGCCATGCGGGCCCTTCGTTCCGTCTTTCTCTGTCGCCTTTGAACGAATAGGTGCTATCATCAATCGCCCCTCAGCGAGATTGATCTCTGGAGCACAAATTGGCATTGAACCCTGTTAAGCTGAAGGTATAGTATAAATCCCATTGTAATCACTTTTAATTTACTGTCTATTCTTCTTTCATGGTAGGGTGTGATACGAAATACGGGCGTGGTCCTCACCGCCTACACCTGCGCTCCAGAGTTTTGCAAATATCTCAGCATTATTGTGGTTATATTTCACATCATAGCCTGCCATAAAAAGGGATACGCAGTAAATAGAACGTGACTACACTGTGATTTGTATTCATGTACTATTGTAAACCGATTTCCATTTAGCCTCAATAAAAATACCTTATTTCACCGATAGGCTAACACGAGATTGTTACTACATTTTTGTTCGGCTAACGTCTCGATCTCTTTCTCTTTCTTAGAGCTGACGGTTTGACTCGATGTTACTCACTCGTTCATCCTCTCGATATGGTGTCTCTGTCTTTGAATCGAGTCGAATCTTCATCGAGAATGCGAACGACTGTGGACCATCGGCTCGAATCGTTGACTCTGAGGAAGACGAAGACGTCGAAGCGCTAGCCGAATAAATATGCGGTAACCACCGCGTGTTAGCTTATCAGTGAAATAAGGCACATTAAACTATGCTTATGTTAGGTATTAGGTTGTTCAGAAATTATTGATGGATTTCAATTTCAAAGTGCCATATCTCAGCACATTTCAATAAACCTTATTGGTTAAGATAAAAACCATTAGAATCTTTGCATATTTATCAATGAGAAATTACTGTAATAGTAACGATAGCACAAGATTCCCGGCTTACAAAGGCGAATGAGGTTACTAAAGGCAGTTTCGGTCTCGGCTTGGCTTCTTTCTGGCATAATCCTGAAGCATTCTTTCCAAAGGAAGTTGTCTAAATGTTTGAAAAAGTAGCAGAAGCTAAGCAAGAGGTCCGGCAATTTTATTGGATGAGGTAAAAATTCGTAGCCCAGCTCGTTAAACATTTCAGCGCCGGTTGTACGACGGGTCCCCGCGTGTTATAGTGAAGAACGATTACTGCATTTCTAATGGCCAGTGAGTGACGCAGCCTTTGAATTTTCTGCTGGAATTCGTCGATTCGCTGGGCGTACTTCTCAGCATTGATTGTTTCACCCAGATTCGGAAACCTTTATTGATTGAAGAAGACCAGTAGAAGACCACGAAATGGTCAATGTCATCTTTTTCTGATGCAATTTCCGATTTGCAACGTGCTGCGAAGCTTCGTCGCTGTCCAAACACTGGGCCGTTAGTCTCTGGTTGTCGTAGAGGATATAATTCTCGCCGTACATTGCGATTCAATTGATAAAACTCGTCGTCCTGCTAGTGCAGAAGGAGCGCCTCAAAATGGCGATTTCTTTTGGAGATTGATTGTTTTTCAAATCGTACGGCATCCATTTATCGAGCTTTCTCGCCCTTCAGATCCTACTTAAACGCTCTGAAACACCTGAGGTGCTTACGCAGACTCCTTGTCGAACTTCTCGGACAGTTGCGCACGTATTTGATTCCACCTAAAACTTCATTTCATCTCAAAAGACCAACTTTCTATAAACCTCGGCATACATCGTTGATATATTTATTTATATGATCTTATAAACTGGTCTTCTTTAGCTGGTACGAGGTTGGTACAGGTCCTCGTTGTCGTTGTCGTTGTTGTTGGTGTTGTTGGTCGATGGCTAACGTTTCGCTAATTTCGCCTTCGTCAGAGCTATGTTGTTATGGGAGGGACCCACTAGCATCAGCTAAAGAAGATCAGTTTATAAGATCATATAAATGAATGTATCCTTCAATTCATCGTCGTCGGTAGCAGAAGGACGTTCGCAATCTACCACTTTTTCAATGTTGAATTCGCTATGATAACATTTCTTAAACCAAGGAAACATTGTCAATTCGTTAACACTTCCTTGACTCCATATCTCGCTGGGCCTGCGTACAACCGAGGATGAATTCGTAGAAGTAGATTTGTCCACATTGCTATTTTGATATCTGTAGTCCTATCCTTCAAAACTTGTCAAAAACACGATGCGTATAACATTTCAATTACAATGAGCGCGTTGTGCTGGTTTACAATAGAACAGCACCTGAGAAGAACCTATTGCTAAAGTATGTACGAGAAAAATGAAATGACACGTCTTCCATTAATACTTGGACAACCTAATATGGTGATGTTTCTCAAGGTTTTGCAAAAAACTGAATCCATTCCCCAATTCCTAATACCCTGTGAAAATAAAAGTGGAGACTCTAAGTAGTTTAAGTGTACACCTAGCACGCAATCACTTTTTATTTACTGCCTATTATTTTCATACCAGGGTTTACTGCGAGATAGAACCACAGTAGTGCTGATATACCTGCAAAACCCCGAGTGGTAGGTGTCTCGGTGGAGATCGAACTCGCTATTACCGTATCTGATGGCTAATGTGTTCACCACCACACCATGCGGGTCCTTCGTTTCCCTTTGCCCTCAGCTGTGTTTTAATCCTCTAAACTTAGCCGTAAATTTACTCTCTAAGTTAGCATACATCAAATGATTTTAAATGAATTGTTCATAAGATTCCTATTACTTTCTTTAGATGTTTTTGTTTCTCCAGCTAGCCTTTCACTGATGATTCCGAAATATCGCACTGCGCGGACAGAGTTATTAGTGCTAGAGTGATCTGGTTTCCCTATTAAGAATAGGATTATTTGAAATAATATCGACTTTAGTTGATGTCAATCAAGTGATTTGTGATAAATCTCCTCTCTGTTCATGACCAATTATCGTTCGTCATTCTTCGCGATGTTATCTATGATCTACATGAGAGTAAACAACTCGTCGATGTTTGGAGCTGATTTTTCCGAACGATGGTAGCCATCGTTCAAACTCGGAGGCTTCCGCGACTTTGGTTGCTGTTTGTTCGTATTACCATCGCATCGTTGTCATATAGTGGTGACGAATGTTGTTGAATCATGAAACCCGTCGAGTGAAGCAAACAACACTATCGTTCCGAATGACTATTTTGGTAGCAGATCACAACAATGGTTCCAAAACAGGCCATTTTTACCTGGTTCTCTATGTCATAGTGCTACGAATTTTGACGAGAACAGGCATGCTTCTATAGTATTCCTATTTTCATCTTCTAAGAGGTTCATAATCGTGAGCGATCGTGACGTGCTCTAAGTAGGTTTTAAGTT